GTGATAGTGCGACATTGGTGGAATACAGATACGTGACAGAGTTGACGAACCATTTCCTCTTGCTTAAAGAAGTTGTTGATGTAAAGGAGGTTCCTCCACCAGTAGTCTTCGCAGGGCTTCGTCATGAATTGGTTTACATAGAAATAGTAAGGTCCGGACCCTAATCGACTCATGTAGACCGTAGTAAACCCGATGAGCAGGGCGAGGACCGGCGTCAACCTGTAACATGGGTAAGACAAGCCTCTGTCGTGTAAAACGTATGATTGAAGGAATGGGCATTATATTAATTGCAAAGCATTATCGGACATGCCATGATGAACAAGTGTGAAACTTTAGCAGAGCCCCTGAGACCTTCGCTTGAAAAAATTGTTTTCTTACATTTGAGATTGTAATTTCACATGATTGTTAATTTTTTTTACTAAGGGGAGTTTTCCTGTTTATTATTTCGAAACCTCTCAGATTCCTCCTCATGGAGTGTTACTCGAGGAATTCCTTTTCTTTGGCTGACAGCTATCAATGACTTGGAAATGAAATGTATTCATTATTACCTCATGTGTTTATGGAAAAATAGTTGGTGCTGTTGGCTCGTCCATCATTGATGAAATTCCAAGAGTCTGATAATACTTGCTGATAGCATATTTCTGTATTACTTTCCGATGATCTGCCTGCTAGTATCAGGAGATTCATTATCACACTTGAGTAGAGTTACGGGCAAGTTACTTTCTGCAATTCACTATTTATCAGGTAGAAATATTCAGCAAATAATAATGGAGAGGTACTTCTACCGTTACTTGGAAAACAGAAGCCGTTACAATAGCTTCCATGTCTCTTTCGCCAAAAGGAGTTAAGGCAGTTTTACAAAATGTTTTACAAAATGCTTCAGTTTTACAAAATGCTTTTTTTTTTAAGAAAAAATAATGGTTTCGGCCTGTAAAAAAAAAAATTATTTGTTACAGTGAGGTGTTTCTCTGACTCATTTACAACATACAATTGCCGATCACTGCTCATGATATTACACTTTCACCCATTTAATCATGAACTCTTGCTAGTTTCCAGCCATTACACAGGGTTCCTTGCACAAATGCAATAGAATTTCCACGGATGAATGATACACGGCGTGTTTAGCCCTTTCGTGCATGGTGTCCACTGTAGTGGACAACAAAGTTTTTGGCGATAATTATGAGTTTTCAGCCATGGTACCCATACCTCGAAACTTTTGGTGCGTGCAGTCAACTCAAGGACACATAATCTGTTCAGTGTTGCTTTCTAGCAGTAGAACATTTGACTACTACGGCAGAGTACTTTCTTAAACGTTAAACCATGAATGGCAAATTTTTGTTTTGCTTTAAAAATTCGTGCACGAAAGGGTTAGGCATCCACCAGATGTTCGCTTACTCTCGAGTGCACGGTGGTGGTGGAAGAGGAGGAGGAGAATGACCTGAGATATCGATGGAAGTAAAAGCGGAAGATGTTGAATCTCCCCTTGTTCCTCTCCAGTTCTTTCAAGAGAAGGTAGGCGACCAGGAGGCCACTGAGGAGGAAGAACGTGTCTACTGACACGACGGCGTTTGAGATCGCTGTGAACTTCCAATCCTTCATTACCTGCAATCATCATGAAGCTTCATAAACTACCTCTTTTAAATACATTATAAAAGGTGCAAATTCAAGATCTATGATAAATGGATTCACTAAATTAAAANCAAACGTTCCGCCATCGGATATGGTTATTATCTATGTGACCAATGCTTCGTCATATGCCGGAATCCCAGCAGGAAGCAAGCCTTAGTCTTTCTTTTGTTGGTTAATATGACACTATGTCATATTGGCCAACAAAAGAATGATGAAGACTGACATATCGGAACATATGGGGACGTTCTCCCAATATGACGACATATTGGGAGAACAACCCTTGAACTCCGAAACTCCTAATGCGAATTTCGATGCCAAATCAGCGTTTATGCGTTGATGCGGAAATTTTAATGGACTCCCAACACATACAGGCTTGCAAGCTCTATCGCTTCCAGAGTCGATTTTTCTGATGCCACTGATCAAAGCAGTCACTATAGTATAAGATTATTCAACCAGCCGCGTTGTACAGTTTCTCTTTTTCGACCAGGTTGGACTAAATAACGTTAGATTCTCGCCTCGAGGAAATCGAATGGGTTGACAGCCGGAATACTCATGAGCTTGAAGGTGTAAACATGCCCGAGCACCACCCACGTCATAGTCAGAAACCTGCACGAAAGAGGCAGATGTTGAGTGAGGACTTCCCATTTGCTTCACTGTGGACCAAGCCGTACAGACCTGATTCCGTTGAGGCATCCGATATTGTCCTTTCCGGTCTTGGTCGAAAGGATCTTCTCCCCATTGGTGAGAAATGAGCCGGCAATCAGGATCTTTTCTATGTTCCCTGTACATCCGTCAAGCACTGATGAATTATATTGGCTTTGAAAATGAATTTGAAATTTCTCTCGTTAGTGAGAGATATTTTCATTACGTCGAGGGCTATATTCGTTTCTAGTTCCCAGTTCGGACAAGGTATATCCTTTACAATTCCTGTTTCCGAGTAGTCGTAATCAAGTAGAATTCGATTCGCAATTACAAATACATAGGTGTCGCTACTGCGACAATCATAATGAGTCCTTTAGATCCCATGGAAGATTGGCATTTTCAAGACCACTATCGAATTTGATGAGCTTTGGTCTGGTGCCCACCCCACCTCCTGCACTTGTCCTACCCGCCTAGTGTTGCTCATCCCCTAGTGGGCGGAAATTCCTGGAATCGCATACCATGCCGATGAGTCTGTGGAGGGTCAGTGTGCCCTGTGCTGAAACTGCATTATTTGTCTAAAATGGATTCCACTACATTAAAGTAGAACCGAATGTACAATGATCACCTTCTGACAATGAGGTTTAGGATTTCCCAAATACCCCATAGTTACAAACATTTTCTGATGCAAAGATCTAATAATCTAAGCAAAGGATATATTGTATAATTATCCACATTATGAAAAGCTAGGCCATAGTTCAAGGAAATTGCAGATATTCCAGTTTTGATTGAATGGCGACCTCATTCCAACCTAAATTTGACAGAGGTATCATGATTTCAACGATTTCAATTGTTGGTTTTAACATTTCAAAATGATTAAAATATTAAATATTTAGGGTTAATTTAGGACCGAATGTAGATATAATCAATATATGAATAAATCGACTATTATTTGATTTTCCTCTCTTTCAGCTTTAATTTGAGCTATGAACCAACTTTAGAGCAAAAGTTAAGGAAGCATGTGTGAACTGTTGGTCAATTTTCATTGGGGGCAAATTTCAAAGGCTTCTCTTGTCGCCAATCGAAATACTGGTTCAAGATTTTGGTTTCTCGTTATTTTCTATGTGGTCCTTACACTCGTAAAATTATATCAACGTTCAGGTAGTTGAGGGCAAAATCTTTCAAGTGTCGGTACACGATGTGGAATATCCCAAAGGCATCTTAGTAGGTCCGTTGGCTGGCTCTTCGCAAGTCCTCGTTGCAAAGCAAATATGTTTGTACCGCGTTTTTTCCAAGCTGGAAACATCGGGACTCCACAATTAAAAAATAAACAAGCGAAGGCTATGTTTCCCTCCCATTTTACTTTGAGAAGAGAGAAAAGGGAGGAAACAGCGAAAAGAAAGACAAATTGGAGTTAGCGTTCGCCTTTTTCTAAGAGGGTTCGGTAAGATTGCAACATCGCAGCTTATCTGAAAAGAAATAGAGGAGAGATGGGAACACTCATCGATCATGGGATGGATGAGTGTTTCCACTTGATCGCGAAGAAGGTCGCGCCTACATGACGAAACACGTCGCATCTCCAACAGCCTTCGATTTAAAAAATTGCAATAGGGCATGTCACACGTGCAACCTTGTCGCAATAACGAAACCATCGACAATACTAGCAGAATTACTTTTACGACTTGCGCTACTTGAGAAGATGTAGATTAACGATGAGGCAGGAAACTTGAATCATTAGGACAATCCGATAAATTTGGGGGGTCTTAGACACTCTTCATCTGTACTATAGCCTCACCTTGAAGTTCCTTCTTGCCGGACATTCGCTGGTAACTGTCCAATGCAGTTCCGGCAAACAAATACAATCCGATAATCACGAACATGATCCTGGAAGATTCGAGACGAAGATTATTTAAGAATGAGTTTGTCACGATTGACTTGAATTTATTTTATTTTATGCTTACGTTAATAAGAACAATGTATAAGTCATGAGTTACTTACGTTACACCGATTTCAGCCGGGCTCAACGCTTTGTGACTGGCGTCGTCACAGCTCAGAATATTGGATACCAACGAGTAATTCTTCACCGTCTCGTCCAGCGACGCCTACATGGTCAGGAAAAAAAATTATTCGCGGAGTTCCCTTCAACACACTACCCTATTGTTTGCAATACCCGAAGATCCGATGAGGAACAGGTGCTGGGGATGCAGAGTCCGATCTCGAAGAGAGAAGCCTGGCCGAATCCTGAGGCTGCAGCGGCTGCTCCGGCAGAGAGGGGGCCCACAGTAGCCCATCGTTGGCCCACAGTGGTCAGTATTTGATGTCTTTGCGCGCCCTCAGTCTTGTCTTTCCTGGAAACGGGTTTTGTCGTTCACGCTTCGCTTTTTTTCCTGGCAGGGAATATTCTCGTTCCGCTCAAATTCGACTGGACTTCCTTTTTTTTTTAATTCATGGTACAGGAAAAGCTGCCTGAAGCCACCTGAAGACACCCAGTCAACAATTTTTCACCGGGCCATCGATGACTTTTCGTCGACGCGTCTATAAGTCGTAGTCGGGCCTTCACTGGCACATGTTTAAGCAGGCTTATAGTCAGGTATGTCCTGTTGGCCCTTCATTGGACCAACTTTGGCTCTTTGTTGGGAAACCGCACATGCCACAACCATAAGCCGACTTTTCACAATGGTGAAAAGATATAGGAAAAAAAAACCGACAAAGTGCATCTACAGCATTATGTACCTGGAGCGATAAGAATGCATCCTTTGACCGACTACTGCTCTTTCACCTGGTAGAGATGAAGGAGCAGGACCTTACCAGAGTACCTTACACAGATACACTCCTATAGCCAAGAATATCCCAAGCAGCACCCCTTTCGGATACTAAGGCATCCAGGAGCGGACCCACATGGGAATACAAGGGTATCTGTCCTCCCGCAAGAAACCAGGCACGCAAAATAGAACATTACAATGTCTTTAAGTTGACGAGAAATAGTCGCGTGGCCTAACGTAGAAAGCAGAAGGATCCTCCCACGGACCTCCGGGCCTGAATTTCCTGGTTGTTCCAGGGCTAGGTTGCATCCTCAGAGAAATGTTTCAAGGAATTCAATTGTCTTCCTCTGAGATCTATGTGCGAAACCATAGGGAACTCTGTCAAAGGACAGGGGGCTCATTTCAGTAGAATTCGAGAAGTGACTCCGTACTACGACCACTTTGGCTCCATCTCGCTCCGGTTTTCGGAACCTTCTCAGCCACATTGGCTCATCTTCGGCGAATGATTTGCTAGCCTGGTCAGTCAATCATTCGCCGAAAATGAGCAAATTTCCCCAGCTATGGCCCGACGATAAACCAATGAACATTTTGACTGCGAAGATGCTGCTCAATTCCAGCAAGTATCTGCTATTCCACTTGTTCAAATCGATTTTGGAAAATTAGAAATAGTGAACTGACGTGGTAATGAAATATTTTGGTGCTTAACTTGCAAAATGTTTGCAAAGGGTGCAAGCTGAGGCTGTAAGATTGACACTCCCTCGTTATGTTTAGATTGACGAGGCTGAGAGACCATTCCTATGTCACCCCTTCTGAAACCCAAGAGAGTTTCATTGGCGCTGCAATAATTAAAACATCTAGCGTCTGTGAAGGGGAGGGCTATTGTGGACAATTTGGGATTATCACTTCTCGTGACTTCAACGGAATTCGAAAGGAACGCCCGACATTGGTTCACCTAATTGAGTTCGTTAATAACGAAAGGAGGAGTCTTTGTGAGTGGTCAGCAATTCCTGCGCTATACAACTTGGGAAGAGAAAAAAATGCAATACTATCCTGTACCTGTGGTATTTACTGAACTACTGAGTACCACCCATTCGAGGTAATTCTGAGAAACTTCGATTTCAAGGTACGTTCGGAAACAAGCTTGTATTTGCCCTCAGTCGATACAGTGACACGGATTCTCTCCTACTTGTAAATAGTATGCACGTACTAAGCAATTACTTTCACCTGTTTTTTGCCGATACTTGACGAACTATGGATACGGATTACGTGCGAGTTGCATGGCTCTTGCTTCCCCTGATTCGAAGCTATTTTCTAAAATTAATGGCATTCCTGTTATAATATGGGTGGGATAGCAATAGGTGGACTCACATCCCTGTGAAGAAAATCTGGGCGATGCAATGCTTTCCAAGGAATTCGTATCCACCCTCGGAATTCACTGAGACCTTGAGACATTCATCGAAATTCCCCAAGGAATACACATTTCCATAGAGGTACCCTGCAGGGATCTTTCCGCTTGCATCC